TATATCTGTGGCAATTAGGCAGAACTATGATCATGATCGTAATTGTATGTTTTTAATGGAATCTCTGGATTTTTTATGTAGCTGTTAATACATTTTGAACAATTTTTCAAAAATTTAAGTCTGATGCCTCTTAAAACCTTAGTGTCACATTGATGTGATTTTGTTTAAAAGTGCAGAAATATATATTATAAAAACAGGCGAAAGAAAATTTCTCATAAAAAGTCAAGAATGTGCTCTTAGCAGACAATCAGGTTCCATTTGTCATTGGGCAAAATGAAGCAAAGAATCTAGCGGTCACCATGGTCATCTGGTAGGTATAACATTGCCTTTAAGCAATCACATTTCGATTCAGTTGTCATAATATTTATTCTTGGTTTATCTAGGTTGCTGTACTTTGCAAATTCTTATTATTCTTCTTTGGCTGATCTGCCCCCACTGCATCACCTTGAAGCAATGAGATTTCACAGCACAGCATGACTGGCAAAAAAAACTGCCGTCCCATCCGTGAACACTGAGAAAGTTGTTCCATTCAGCTATAGTCAAGGTTATGATAAAACAAATGACAATGAGGAGAATTTATCAAAACTGGAGCAGACAAAATCTGGCGCAGCTGTACATGGCAACCAATCAGCTTCTCTCTTTCATTTTCAAATCTTAACTATACAAACTGAAGAGAGAAGCTGACTGGTTGCCATGGGTAACTGCTCCAGATTCTGTCTGCTCCAGTTTTGATAAATTCCCCTCAATGTGTCTTTGAAATTACAATAACATGCTAAACCCGTTACAACATTTTAGTAAGTGGGTTTACATATGCGTTTGATATAGTAAATCGGTGACAACAGATTATTAAAATGTTAAAGTAAAAATTATATGAAAGTATTAATGTATTTTTTACTTCATTGTTATGGCATATTTCTTAACCAGACGAAAACTGAGAAATAAAGAATAAAATTACAGTGTTAACATTTCAGTAAAACCTTGCCAAAATTGTATTAAATATTAAAATTGCAGCTTCTTAGAGACAAATAAAATACACATTTGAAAATTGGCAAATACAGCCACATACTACATCCTTAAATACAGTGGGGGGGATTTATCAAAACTGGAGAAGACAAAAACTGGAGCAGTTGCCCATGGCAACCAGCGCTTTACTGCTCCTCTGGTTCCCCGCTGCCTTTGTCCATACAAGCAGGGGATCCAGAGAAAGAGCTGCAGGCTGTGCCACCCCTCTGTGCGTGGCCGAGCGGCGAAGGATCAGTACATATCGGTGATATGTACCGATCCTCTGTGTGCAGAGCAAACACTGGAGTGATCAGCTGATCACTTTAGTGTTTGTAAATAACTGGGGACACATAGAACTATGCGTCCCCAGTTATGAATGAACAGGAAGTGCTTTACATCACTTCCTGTTCATTCATGTGTTTCTAAATGGGTAGTAGCCCCCAGTACAGAGGCTTCTCCCCATTCAGAAACTGGTTGATATATTTAATTTTCTAAATGAATGGGAAACCTCTGTACTTTCCATTCATTTAGAACAGAGTCTGCAGAAAAAGAGATTGAGGAAATGAGAGTTCTACAGAACCTCCCTGTTTGCCCATCAGGCTATTGTATTCAGATCAAATGTTATACAATCTAGGTCTTAGTATTCCACGCACACTTCATAGATGGGGAGACGATCACGCTGGTTACAGGCCAAATAATGGGGCCCATTCTTTAGCCTGTGACCAAAGGGAGGACAGATGTGAGGATCTCAAATAGATAGTACCCACCTGTAACAGTTGTGGTTTTGACCTGTAATATCCATTACTGCTGGTATCTTTTTTCATCTATTAATTATTTAATTCCTCTTTTCATTAATGAAAATGCCTGACCTGTGTTTTTTTTTGAGGGACATTACAAAAAGTTGCAGATCTTTCACATGCAGTCCAGTAGCGTGGCTGTAAAGGGCAGTTCCCTACACAGCTGCAACCCTAATGTTTTAACATCTGCAGAGTTTTGCATCAACTACTACATCTGTTCATAAGAACAGCACCTGGACCCTAATAATCATCGTCCAATATCTCTATTAAATGTGGACATTAAACTACTCACAAAAATATTAACTAACCGATTTAATGAGTTCCTGCCCACAATAATCCATAGGGACCAGGTGGGATTTATCCCCTCCAGACAAGCAGGAGACAACATTAGAAAAATTATTCATCTGGTACATGTGCTCAAAACCAGGAATGTTCCCGGCCTCTTATTGTCCCTGGACATTCAGCGGGCATTCGACTCGATCTCCTGGGATTATCTGCATTATATATTAGTTAAATGGGGCTTCCGGGGACCGTTCTTGAACTGGATACAAGCTCTCTACACTGGGCCAATGGCCCGAATCAAGTATCTGGGTCGTGTGTCTAACCCTATTACCATAGAGAGGGGCACTCGTCAGGGCTGCCCCCTATCACCGGTTCTCTTTGCCCTAGCCATCGAACCCCTGATTCACTTAATTCGAAACAACCCTAATGTGAGGGGAGTGGAGGTGGCAGGGGTAGAATATAAAACCAGCCTATTCGCTGACGATGTCATGCTAACTATCACCCAGCCTCATACCTCCATCCCCAATCTACTACACATTTTGGACATATTCTCAGGGGTTTCAGGCTTGGTGGTAAATTGGAAAAAGTCGGCGGCCCTGAACATTTCCCTTGCCCAATCTACATACGAACAGCTCTGCGAGAACTTTGCGTTCTCCTGGGAACGATCGTCCCTGAAATACCTGGGCGTAAATATTACACCATCTTACGCTACTCTATATACAACCAATTATATACCCCTGTTCCGCCACCTTAGATCCTTAATGACTGACTGGGAGCGCCATAAACTGTCTTGGTTCGGGAGAGTGGCAGCAATCAAGATGACCATCCTGCCTAAGCTGTTGTATTATTTTAGAGTCCTACCAATAGCTATATCACCCTTCGCACTGCGATCCCTACAGAAACAAATTTTAACATTCATCTGGCACCCTCTAAGACCCAGAGTACCCAAATCCACGTTATATAAGCATAAAAAAGACGGAGGGATAGGCCTACCTAACATATTACTTTACTATCAGGCTTCTCAACTATTGCCCCTAATCACTATACATCGGGAGACCAATATCCCTCTGTGGACTATGCTGGAACTCCCAGACTGTTCTCCAACCCCGCTCTCAGCTCTCCCGTGGTTACCGCCCAATCAGAGACCCCCTACCCTTAGCCCCCTTATGAGACAAGCCCTAAAAGTGTGGGATTCCCTAAAATACTCAGCTGCATCAATGTCCCCTCACATGCCCCTTCTCCCTATCCTTTCTCAACCTTTGTTCCCCCCGGCATGTACTAACCCGGAGCAATTTAAATGGTGGAGCGCCAATGGGTTTATTAGGATTTATGATCTATTCAGTCACACTGCTATCCCCACATGGTCATACCTTAAAGAGCACAAACAAATCCCTGACGCGGAACTATTCCGTTATCTACAAATACGACACTGGGCGTCTTCATTACAAGAACGGAGACCCTCGAACAGACCCCTCACTAGCTTTGAGCATATATGCCTCCACTCCCCTGACGGACCCAAACAAGTGTCGCTAATATATTCCATGCTCAACTCCCTGAAGCGCCTTGACCTGCACACTTACCCTGCAAGACCTACTGACCTTAATCTTACTTGGACTGAGGAGGACTGGGGCAGGGTATGGAGGAACATCTCCCAATGCTCCTTTAATGTCACCAATATGGAAGTAGCTTATAAGGTTATGTTCCGCTGGTACCTTGTCCCCACCCACCTAGCCAAAATATACCCATCCTCGTCCACTGCCTGCTTCCGGGGGTGCACCATCCCTGGAGACATGCTCCACACTTGGTGGACGTGCCCGTTTGCCTCACGATTTTGGACTAGAATCTTTCGCTTACTCTCCAGTCTGTTTCACACCCGCATCCCCAAGGATCCCACCCAAGCTCTGCTACATAATACCATACCCGGACTAACCACCTCCCAAAGATCGCTAGCACATCAGATCCTCTTGGCAGCCAAATTGACCTTAGCAAATAACTGGAAAAAACAAATCCTGCCATATCACGAGTTTACTTCTAGACTAGATAATATTATGACCAACTAAAGATTATCCAGTATTCTGAAAGATACACATGCCAAGTTCTTACTGATATGGGAACCTTGGGTGCTATATCAACACCCGGATCTAAGCGGGGACACCATTAGACTTCTATGAGAGACTGCTATTTAGAAATCGGGAGTGCCTCTAGTTAAAACGGGCGGTTGCTCTACTGACCTAATCATCACCATAACCAGCTGTAGCATCACACTGATGGAACTGATACCCAATCCACCCCCTCTTTCCCGCTCTTCTTC